TTCTTTCTCTTCAGGGTGGTTTTTCAGGGAAAGATAAATCTCCCAAACGTGTGCAACAGTCCCTCGACTGTTCACCTCCTTTTGGGCCATCCCCAATGGCTTGTACTCTTTGCCTCCCTCAACTGTGGAAAGTCTGGGTAGAAACCAGAGGCATCAAATGCAAACAAAGCATTGCACACTGATGCCACTAAAAAGGATTATGGCTATCCTTTCAGGCTGAATAATAACATGTGAGGAGTTTTTTGATGGGGGAATATACATCCCAGTTTTCATGGGTTCATCAAGTTACACTTGACATAATTTTAATTCTCTTGACTTCCGTGGCACATCAGTCACCAACTCATCCCTCCCCTCCCCTCCATTTCACTGGTACTCGAGTTTGTTCTTCACATGCCCAGGGCATGTGCTGCTGATAGTCATAATACCAAGCCTTTCTCTGTCACATTTTAAATATTGAAAAGCAGACTGTGTTTCAGCAGAGCTGACAACATCCTTGCATGGTAGACAGGTGTTTGCCTTCATCCCAGTGTGGCATGGAATGACTTGAAGCTGAGAAAAGCAGGGGAAGCTGATAGGTGAAATTCAAGCAATGGACCAAGATACAAGAGTGGCCATTAGCTTACAAGTTCATGATGGGTCTGTACTAAACTGAACTGGGGGTGGCCTATTGGGGGAAGGGATTGTTTGTTTTATCTTGTAAGCCACTTCAGTTGTTTTTACAGAGAGGCAGGATATTAATCATCATCATCCATGAAGAAACATATCATAGATAAACAGTAAAGAGAAGCCCTCTCCTGCATATAGTTCCTGTCAGAGGGATGAGGAATCTGTTCTGGGTTTGAGTCTGAACTGTAGAAGACCTATGCAAGGTGCTGAACCCTAGCACTCACCCCAGCATCACCAGAGTGGATTCACTGCCCCACTGACATGGGAGGCTCCTGCCATTGCCACTCCAGTAGCAAGTACTCAGGGACATCTGCTGGCCACTGACAGTAACAGAATATGTGGCTAACTGAGGGATCTTTGGTTTGATCCTGCAAAGCGAACCAGCACTACCCTGAGTCATGAAGACCACTATGTTCATCTGGTAGTAAACTGGTATCCACATAAACTTTTAAAAAACTGCATTAAGTGAGAATAGTGCAAATGCAAAATTCTACATTTAGGGCCCCCAAACCCAATGCACAGACATGGGATGTGGGGTCCTTGGCTTAGCAGTAGTACAGGTGAAAAGGTCCTTGAGATTATTGTTGATTATAAATTGAGGATGACTCAGCCATGTGAAGCTGTGGCAAAAAAGGCAAAGAATATTTTAGCCTGCATTAATAGAACCAGAGTTTCCAAGCTAAGGGAAATGACAGTCCCACTCTATTCTGCACTGGTCAGGCCTCATCTGGAGTCCTTTGTTCAGGTCTGGGCACTTCATTTTAAGAAGGATATAGACAAGTTGGAACAGATTCAGAGAAGGGCAAGCAGGATGGTAAGAGGTATGGAGAACAAAACACGCTGGGAGTTGGCCATGTTCAACCTGATGAAAAGAAGACTGGGGGGTGACAGGATTGCATTCTTTAAATACTCAAGGGTTGTCACATAGAGGAGGAGGTAGGTTTGTTCTCTGCAGCCATAAAAAGTACAACCAGATCTAATAGTGTTAACTCTTCTTATTTTTTTAAAAAATATTTTAAGATAAGTAGATTTTGATTGAACATTAGAAGGTACTTATTGGCTGAGGATGATTCAGTAATGGAACCACTTGCCTAGAGAGAGGTGGTGGTGTACCGTTCTCTGGACATATTCAAAAAGAGGCTGGTCAGCTACTTGCTGGGGATACTCTTACTGGAGTTCTTGCATCAAGCAGGGGGTGGGCTTGATGGCCTGTGGGACCCCTTCCAAATCTATGATGATCTAAAATGATACCAGGAGAATCACCACTTGAATTCAATGAGCTGTGTTAAAAGAGGTTCAGAGGAATGAATGGGGCAAGGCACAATCCCTCCATTCATACTTTATTAATCCTCCCTCATCCCACCTCCTGCTCTCTGTCTCTCTTTTTTCCATACAGAGGTCCAGAAGTTATCCAGCCTCGTGCTACCTTCAGAGGTCATCATTGCCCAGAGTTCCATCCCTGGGGAAGGGCTAGGCATCTTTTCAAAAACCTGGATCAAAGCTGGCACTGAGATGGGACCCTTCACCGGCCGGATCATCTCACCAGAACATGTTGACCTTTGCAAAAATAACAATCTCATGTGGGAGGTAAATGCAGAAGGATGGAGCAATGTGTGCATCTCAAACATCTCAAACACACTACTGTACATGGGGAAGACTAGTGCCTGCTGTTCTATAGGTACATCACACACACATATTGCAAGGGTGGTACATAGCTGTACTGGCCTCTTCCTCCATGTTCCAATGTTTGTTTAATTTTATTTAAGTAGAATTTTAATACATAAAATCACAAAAAAGTTAAACTTATTTCTACATTTTGTTCTTGGAGTATATAACCTAATCATTTTTCTACATGTATAAGATCGCCCAAATACACTTTTTACATAGCTGACAAATATTCCCTTCATTTTCATATAACATATAATTAAGTTATATTCTTAGTATATTAATACCACTTTCTATCTTTTGTTCTTAACTTAAGCCTTCCAGATTACTCATTTATCTTCTGATTGCAAGTAATTACGTATATCTTTCCATTTCGTATAATATTGTTGGATTGATTTACTTGCAGTATACATGGATAAGCTATCCATTACCACTAAATCATTTAACTTTATTTTCCAGTCCTGTATAGTAAGTATCTTATGTAATTTCCAATATCTGGCAAATACCATTTGTGCTGTGGTTACCATATATAAAATTACAATTTTTTCTTCCTGTTTTAATTGATATTCTATCACGTCTAATATATTTAGCAAGGCGAGTTCTGGGTTTAAGGGAATATTTTTTCTGTTAAGATTTTACCCATATTCTTATGTATGTTTTCCAGTATTTTTTTTAGCTCTACTACAATGCCACCACATATGATACATGGTTCCCATTTTATTATTACATTCCCCGCAATTATTATTGCTTTGGATCTTCATTTTTGCCAGTCTGGTAGGGGTCATGTACCATCTGTGAAAAATTTTGTGGAAATTTTCCTTTAAAGCATTCATTTTGTGAATTTCATGTTGTTTTTCCACACATCGTGTTCCAATGTTCTTAAAGCAGGGAATCATGTGGTTCCAACCAGTTGTGTGAGCTGCAAAATCCACCCACTCCAGCTACAGGTTCTCATAATACTCTAATACAGTATAGTTTGTATCTTACTAGTATTTTGTACTGTACAGTATTTTATATTTTTAAGTCCCATTTACTTTCTTTCTTTATCTGAATTTCTAAATTTCACCATGCCATATTTTGGCTGGCACTCTGTTAGCCAGTTTCCCTTATGCCTGTGTATGTCTCTTTTTGGACACTGCCAAGGTTGGGATATCTTTCCTTCCTCTAAGATGCCTACAGTCCCTCCCCATGAGACTTAGTATACAGATTCTGACGTCCCCTACCCAGACAGCCATTCTGTGTCTTGCGAGGAGCAGGCATGATCAGACAAATATCTGGCTATGTCCCTGTAGCTGGAGTAGAAATGACAGCAGTACTGAGACCTCCAAAGGACCTCAATGGATCTGTGTTGCTGTAAACATTTTATTCCTGGCTACAGAGACACAGCCAGACATTTCTCTGATTCTACCCACTTTCCACAAGGCATGACTAGCCATGCAGGGGTGAGAGTGGCCTTAAGAGGCTGTATAGTAAGCATGGGAGTAAGCGAGAGAGCAACGGAATACCCTCTAGCATTTCAGATGAAAAACGGGACAGGTGTGGCCAAGCAACATCAGAGCGTGGTTAAGATGGCAAAAGTTTTTAATGAAAAAATTACATAAGCTACAGCAGTTTGTTTCTACCTGAGCCTAGTGGGAAGACTCTGCCCCCTCTTCTCATCTTCCTCCTGAAAGCAAACAATTATCTGAAAGCAAACAATTATATTTACACGTTAGGTTCAGTTTGCAGCACGTGATATAAGAAAGGACAAAAGTGGGAGGGTAAGAGAAAAACTGGGACATTTTAAAAGCAGCTGAAAAAGTGAGACAGCAGAAGGACAGGACTGTCCCTGCCAAACTGGGACAGTTGTAGGGTGTGCTATAAATGTCTGATTTGTTTTTCCATGAGATCCCAAAGACCTTACTAACCTTTTAGCTTCCAAATTTTCCCTTGGTTAAGGATACTTTTCCTTCATCATGGCTCTCCCATATGTTGGCCTTAACGGGCATCCTCTGACTTTCCCTTGAACTGGAAACCTTTCACTGAGAGATAGATGCATGTGGCTGCAAAAACCTCTTGCCTTTTAATCTCAGGTCTTCAATGAGGATGGAACAGTCCGTTACTTCATTGATGCCAGCCAGGAGGACCACCGGAGCTGGATGACGTACATCAAGTGTGCCAGGAACGAACAGGAGCAGAACCTGGAGGTGGTTCAGATTGGCAACAGCATCTTCTACAAGGCCATTGAGGTATGGAGCAGACGGGAAAAGGAGAGGGAGCAGATGCACAAAGGGAGAACAGAGCAGGTGGCTT